CCCAGAGAGAGAGACAGAAACAGGTGGACCGAGAGGACAAGACACAGAAAGATGACATGTAGGAAGTGAGGTAACAGAAGCGGAGGGAAAAAGAGAAAATCAGAGAGAAACAGAGGGACAAGGGGTGTGGGGAGCAGGTACCCCCAAACCAAGCTGCGCATGGGCAGCAGGGGCCACCCTGTGGGGCTCGAGCTCGGTCCGGCAGACAGAGTGGGCACAGGGCAGGGGTGGGGTCCATACCGGGGCCGGACTCAGGTCCCAGCGCTCCCAGGTGTTGGCAGAGAAGTTGTATAGGACGAGGTCACCCAGGGCATTGTTGAGGTCTTGGCCTGTGGAAGGTGGAAGGTCTCAAGGCCTGGTCCCAGGCTGCCAGACCTCCATACCCCAGATGCACCCCATCTGCTCACCTCCAAAAACAGCCAGCAGTCCTGGAGGGGACAGGAAGGCACCAGCTGCCCCAATACGGGCAGAGAAGGCGGGGTCCCCAGCACTCACGTTGTGCCACCAGCCGGCCCCCTGGTTCTCCCACAGGTGCAGGTCACAGGCACGTCCCAGAAAGCCAGGCTCACAGCGGCACGGTCCCAGAGGCTGGGGGAAAGGGGAAGCAAAGACAGGGACAGAGAAAGAACAACAGACAGGGGGAGGAGAGATGGACAAAAAGCAGACAGACAGAGCCAGATGAAGACAGGTGGGCAGAAAGAGGGAGAAGGAGAGAGACAGACAAGAGGAGAAAGACAGAGATGCAAAGGGAGAAAGACAGAGGGAGGAAGAAGGAGAGACAGAAAGATGGACAGAGAAACGAAGAAATGGGAAAGAGACTCAAGCAGAAGGAGGCAGCCACAGGGAGAGAAGACAGACCCAGAGACCAACAGATGAAAGGACCAACAGATGAAAGGAGAGAGAAAAAGAGAAAGACACGCAAAGAAAAATGGGGACAGACGGACAGAAGACAGGTTGGAGAGGGAGGATGGTCAGGGGTCCACACTCAGCCTGGCTGGGCCGGGCTCAAGTGATTCAAGCCCACAGCTGGACATGGACAGCTTCCATACCAGGTCAGGGATCAAAGGTCAGAAGTCAGGGCAGGGGGCCCAAGGTCAGACACAGGGCCTGGGGTGAAGGATGGAGCTGGGCGTGGCAAGAGGAAGGAGGACAGGCTTCACAGGTGAGAGGTGGAGTTATGGGTGAGGCCAGGAGGGGGTGCTCAGGCAGGGAAGGGCTGCAGGTGAAGGTGGGGTGGGGCTGGAGCAGCAGGTAGGGTAGGATCTGGAAGGAAAGGGTAGCACTGTGGGTGAGAGCAGGGTCTCCGATGGGTCGGTGTTATGGGAGCCAGTGGGATGGTGGAGGCAGCTCAGGCTGGGGGCAGGCTCCCGGTCCTGAGAGGAGCGTGGAGACAGAGAGGCTGGGGCCTGACAGGGAACTAGGTCTAGTTGATGGAAGCCAAGACCACGGTCACCGATCAGGGTCCCAGGGGAACAGTTGGGGACAGGCTCACCGAGACGCAGGTGCCATGACTGCCACAGTAGGCTGAGCACTCCTGCAGGCCACAGTCCGGGCCACCCCAGCCCGGCTCACAGGCACACACCCCCGGCGGCCGGCACTGCCCGTGGCTCCGGCAGCCCCCCAGGCACAAGGAGAAGCGGAAGGAGGCGTTGAAGCCCAACAGGTTGTAGTTGGCGTCACTGAAGAGGTGCAGCAGCATCTGCAGGCACAAGGTGGGCAGGGTTCTGGGGGTTGGGCCGGGCAGTGCTCTCCCCTACACCCCCATCTGGATCCTCCGGCCCCGCTGCCACGGCCCCCATTCCCACCAACCTTGCCCGAGGAAGCTTCGATGGGCGGAGGCCGGGTGCTCCCACTCAGGCTGGCGAGCAGGGGCCCGCGGGGCGAGTCGCCATCATACACAAACAGGTAGTCATACGTGCACTCGGTGTCCAGGAAAAGGAAGTCCAGCAGGATCCGGTGCCGGGGGCTCGGGGCTGGGCAGCCAGACCAGAAGCACGGGTTCATACGTGGACCTTCTCCCCAGGTCTCCACACCACCCACCCACGGACACCCAGCCCTGCTCCCGGGGAGCCCTGCTCCAGGTTGTGAGGCTGAGGGCGTGAAGGTGAGTGTGACCTGGGCTCACAGCCCGGCCAGGGGGGCAGGGGCCCAGAGGAGAGGAGACACAGACCAGCCCTGGACAGGACCCGCCCTGAGGTCAGGTGAACACCTCCCACTGTTCAATGGGAAAATAAGAACAGACGGAAGAAACTTCACCCCGAAGGTCCCCATGGAGTGGGAGCCACAGGGTTTCTGTGACCCCTTCTTCCCATTCATACCCAAGCTTCAGATGTGCCCAGATCTGAGGGGCAGGCCCAGACCCTAGCAGACAGACATACAAGGACTCTCTCATCCTTGTCCAGATAGAAAGGTCTTGCAAGGGCCCCCGTTCCAGGCCAAACAGACCTCCGGGGGAAGAGTCCTGTTTGCCCCCCTGGACGAAGGCCTAACCTTGAAGCTCCCGGTTCCTTTCTTCCCCCTCCATGATCTCGTCGCTCTGTTTACTGTCATAGAAAAGCACATGGATTCTGAAGCCAGACTGCCTGGGCTTAAGTTTTGGCTCTGCCATTCACTTGCTACTAGCTGTGTGACCTTGGGCAAGTCACCCAACCTCGCTGATGTTTCCTTGTCTGTAAAAATGGGGATAGAATGGTGGTGTGGTAGATGAAAAATTCTCAGCTAGCCACTCCTCTCACTGAGAAGCAAACAAATAAAAAAATCAAACTCACTGTCATCAAGTTGATTCTGACTCATAGCGACCCCCATTGGGTTTCCAATGCTATAAATCTCTACAGAAGCAAGTTGCCTCATCTTCCTTCCATGGAGCAGCTTGAGGGTTTGAACCACTGACCTTCAGTTAGCAACAAATGCCTTATCCACCGCACCGCCAGAGCTCCTAACTTGTTGCTAGCTGCTGTCCAGCCGGCTCCAACTCATAGCGTCCCCTGTGCAACAGAAGGAAACACTGCCCGGTCCTGCGCCAGCCTCACAATCACGGCTACGCCTGAACCCACTGTCGCAGCCACCGTGTCAGCCCACCTCCTTGAGGGCCTTCCCTTTTCTTACTGACCCTCCACTCTACCGAGCATGACGTCCTTCTCCAGAGAATGGTCCCTTCTGACAACATGACCAAAGGAGGTGAAACGAAGTCTGGCCAGTCTCGCTTCCAAGGAGCATTCTGGCTGCACTTCTTCCAGGACAGATTTGTTCATTCTTCTGGTAGTCCGTGGGACTTTCAGTATTCTTCGCCAACACCACAACTCAAAAGCATCACCTCTTCTTCGGTCTTCCTTATTCATTGTCCAGCTTTCACATGCATATGAGGCGACTGAAGATACCATGGCTTGGGTTAAGCGTACTTTAGTCTTCAA